CTAATGGTTTCTCTCTGGCCCCGGGGCTGCCAGGGGTGCATACCAAACAGTGTCAGAAAGAAAACTGATGTAGAACATCACACTGTCACATTGGGCTTAGATGGCAGAAACATTTCAGTATGATAGCACCCTACCTCCCCCTCACAGGAGGCCACTAACGTGGGTCCTTCTCCAATTACTAAAGAAGTGAACGCTGAATGTGGAGGCTGAACACTCGGACTGCTTGGACTTGTAGATTAGCAGTGGGGTCGGGTGAAAAAACAAAACAAAACGCTGAGGGTATTCTTGTTTAAGAGTCAGAAAGGCAGAAGGCTAGACTAAGCCCACTTGGGTATCATGTTTCATCACTGAGCTGGACCGGGTCAACAGGTGCGTTGAGAGAGCGGGGCCTCTCTCCCTGCATGCTGATGCCGCAGCCAGAGTCCTGCTCTCGTTAACACACGTTCTTGACTTCATTAGCACAAATCAGAGCTGCGTAACTGCCAGGTATCTAGTCCACGGCAGGAGGTGTGATTCCAGCCACTATCTGTTAATAACCATGTGGGTTTTGTCATCCTCATCAGCATTTGTAAAAACAGATGGTGCTTTAATGACTTTAATGGAAATATTGACCAGTTGGACTCGAGGACAGATTGGCGGTCTCTGACTCAAACTGAAGCACTATATTGGCATGTGAAAACTGCTACCTGTTGTACCAGGAGGCAGGGCTGTGGTGCTGCTAACACATCGACTCATCTGCAACTCTTTTAAAATACCATCAGCATATCTGACCAGGATCTTTATTTCAAGCAGATGCCTTTTCTCGGTGGTGGCTGTAGTTGTTTCTTCACCAGCAGAGCACACGCGACAAGTGTCTTCATATTAGTACAATCACTGCAGCAGAAACCACCTATCAAACAATAAAAATAAACAGTCCTAAAATTTGATCCCATTGATGTTCGATTAGCAAACAGTTGTGGCTTTATGCATAAACTATCACTCACTGCACAGCCCCAGATAAAAAGGAACAAGACAAMCATCCACACAAAGCCCCTAAGTGCGACTCTTTTAGCTCAGAGCATGTTGCTCAGCTGAAATACATCAAACGAAGAGGAAAAGATGGCTAATTAGTACTCATTAGAATAAGAGGCAGCTCCGCAACGACACAACTGCATTAATCAAAGGTTAACAATTCGGATCAAACGGGAATTAGTGAAAAACACTTCAGTGATGTCATGTGCTCCCATTTGCAGAAAAAGAGGCAACCAGGCTGTTGCCAGAGCGTAGAGACGTGATTGCCATGACACGCTTGTTTCTGCTTCCTGTTTCTCTGCAGCGTGCTCAGTCAACGCTGTCAGCTGTGGTCTAAGCTACACACTGCAGGGAAAAGATCACAGTGGGGTGTGTGGGGGTGTGTGAGGGGGGGTGTTTACAAATAAGATTGAACTCAATCCTCTGGTTTCTCCGTAAAGCAGAGTTAAGCTCCCATCTGCGGTGTTGCTGAGGTTGTTCACGGAGCCACTTATTGTAAAAACCACATCTAAATTAAAAAAAAAAAAGGTCACAGTTCAGGGGAGCTGTTGAGAAAGCCACAAATGACTCCACTGTCTCGTCGCGCAACCAACARTGTGAGCAAACTGGAGCGCGAAGCCAAGCGTCATCAAAACCATGCCTCAGAGCGGAAGGTGGAGGCGTCACAACACGCCAAACCRAAAGGGAATCCCATCACCATACTTTTTCAGCAGTGTTTCCCATAATGATTACATCACAAAAAAAATTTACACCGAATTAACCTGAGGGGAAATGCCTGGGGATACACGATGCTGTTACCATCAACAACGTGCACGAGTGGAGATGAATCTGAGTGTGAGACGGCAGTGAAAGCATCACACAGCTCTGGGAATGAGTCGAGGGTTTTTTGGAAACTAAAACGGATAAAWGGGCGAATGTGCACGAAGACATTTGAAGACGTTAAAGTCCCGTCAGGTTGAGGGGTTTATGGCACTCACTGCGACATCGTGAACACTAAAACAAGATGCTTCTTGTGTTCATGGTTTATTTGTCCTTAAATTAAAAAAAATCTGTACGAAGTGTGACCAGATGTCAAATGTGTTTGTTCAACTATGGAAAACAGAAAACTGGTGAAGTTCAGTGGTAAAGGTTAACCGTCTTTCTTGTTCTCTTTTTCTCTACTTTATTTTCCAGCATTTAGGAGCAGATTCACTCATCAACACATCAATACAAACATCTCCCAGATTCTATTATAGTTGTTTACCTACAGACAACCAAATGTAGGTTAATCACATGACTCAAGCTTCCATGTGAGCTTCGAGGGGTTCAGCTGAGTGCGTTGTTTACACTGAGTACGTACCTGCATTTCAGGAATGCATATCAATACATCAGACTGCTGGAGGGAACCCTTACAAACTGCACCGTTTCAGAAAGTTAAAAATAACCTATTTATGTTTGATTGGAAAGTTTGATAGTGTGTCAATTAAGAAAAACCTGACAGAAAAGTCGTAAATGCTAAACAGTTTATAGGGACTTCGATAAACGCGCTACCTGATCCAGGCAGTGTGTGGGTCAGGTTTTTGTGATTTTTTTATCCCACTCGTTTCATGCTTACTCTCCGCTTTAGCATTTCAAAATCTGTCTTAAGGTTTTATCTAGTTTGTTTTCTGCTTTGGTTTGACAAATTGTTGAGCGAAATTGTGACGCGCACTGTGTCTACTGAGCTCCGCACTTTKTTTTTTACGTTATAATGGAAGCCAATGGAGCACTTGGTTCCTAATTTTCAGACTTTAAAGACCTCTAAATCCTTAATGGGTGGTCCGATTTTAACAGTGTTCATGCAGGTTTCAGTAAGTTAAATTTAAGACCATTAGGAAAGACCAAATACTAGAAACATTCAAATGGTTGCAGAAATTTTAACATAGAAACCTTTTATTGCTATCAATTTAGCTATTAAAGAATATTTAATTTTAATACAAGAACACTAAATTATTTAAATCAAACGTTCGTATCTATGAGCATTGACTGCTGCAGACCGCTTCCAACTGAGTGCAAAAATTACTGATAAAGTCGTGTCATTGAAAACACASTGTCCATGTTTAAACAACAAGCAGTGGACATGACTGAACTTCTTTGTTGTTTTGCAGGTGAACAAGCTGCCGTATGCGGGGGGGTTGAAGCAGCAAAGAGGTTGAAAACGGGGAAGTAAACTGTGCCGTTTTTTTTTGCCTGCAGTTATCACAGGATTTTTAGTGTAACAACAAACCAAGATGGGTAGAAAACTTAGAACTTAATGAAGACAGATCCAGTCGACTTCTGGTTATGGCACTTTTTGCTGTTTATGCAGCCAACACTTCTCGGGAATGATCGAAAGTAAAAAAATAAAATAAAATTTGACAAAGTTAAATTTAAGACCTTGGATGAAAATCTGGATGTTTTTAAGAGTTGTTTTTTTTTTGTGCCTAAATTTAGATWTTCAAATTTTAGACGTTTTTAGACTTCTTAAGACCGGCATCAACCCTGTAACTAAAAATCTGTACACAGAGTCTTACGGCTACAAAAAGGAAAAACTGCTCTAAAATAAGTTTGAAATTTTTATTAAAGTCCCTACACTTTACTACTTAAGACAGTGGGCCTCATGCAAGAACATGTTCGTATTCTTATCCTAAATTTCTCTTACTTTTGTTCGTACAAAGGGTTCGTACGAACATGTCACGTCAGATTCAAC